ATTAGACGATCAATGTGTGAAAAGTTGCCAGCAGTACCATTGATATTGGGAACAATAACGGTACCATCATCACCAACTGTTAAAATTTGTCTTAATTGCTCGCGGGTACAATTCTCACGTCCAGGTACAAAACGTTGATACTGTACTGGATAGGGGTTACCTTCCGAATTCACGAGAAAAGGTGGCGGCATCAGATGTGGCATTACTTGTGTTTGTTCATCAACCACATATTGAGAAGCGTCACGCATTAAAGGACGATAGTCCGTATGAAAAAATAGTTCATTTGGAAGCTAAATTCGAAAGCATAATGATAATTAATTTTATTTTAATGTTTGCATATTAAAGTTGTAGTATACGTACTATTTTGTATTTATCTGGTCCAATTCCAAGTCCATATATAAGTAGATGACCATGCGAATCTGTAGCCGCAAACATTGTGCCATCTGGAGACCATTTTGCATCGAATACGCCACCATGACCCTGGCCGTCTATATCGTTCATAAACTCAGCTATAGAAACACCGTTTTCAACATCCCATAGAAACACCTGTCCGTCATGTCCTGCGGATAGCAGTACATGCTCATCTTTCGGATTTGATTCCAATACGTATAGTTCATCCTTGTGGCCGCGTAATACCCGATGCAATTTCCCAGTTTTAGAATGCCAAATTTTTATCTTTAAATATTAAAATTATATTTATTATTATAAAAAATATTAAAAAATTAAATGAACTCACTGTAAAGTCATTCACGGCAGTAATAACATATTTATCTGAGCAATCCCAAGCAACCATAGTAACTTTTAACTTCTTTCCTTCTTCCGGTGGGGGGCAGCTGGATTTGGATTTTTACATTTTATCAATGAGCACAAAAACTAAAAATGTTAAAACTTTCAGTATGATGATTCACTCACCTTGACAATCGCTCAGTCATACAAAGTTTTGTGCTCTTCCATTGCTGTGATTCGAAATTCCAAATATGTGCCGTACCATCTTTACTGCCGGATATGAAACGTAAACCACGATGCGACCATTGAACTGAATCTACGGCATCAGTATAAGCCTCCGATTCGAGTATACGTTTGGGTCCATCTTCCGACATTATATATACCCTTACGTGATGATCTGCTGAACCGGCTGCAAGGAAAATGCCACCTGGCGAAAAGGTAGTACACATCATTTGTGCCTGCCCCGGTCGTAGTTTTTCATGATATTGTATTGGCTTGGGTGCAAATGTAATTTTCTGGCCGCGCGGTGTCGAATATTGCCAAAATGCAATTGAACCATCTGTACTTGTGGTGACTAGGTATTTTAAATCACCACGCGGTGAGGGGCAAAAATTTACGGATGTTATCATGCCAGTATGACCCGAAAGTACGGCTATAGGCGAAGTAGTTTGCATGTCCCAAACTCGTAATATACGATCCAATGAACCAGCTGCCAACATTGTATTATCAAGGTTAATAGCAATGTCTGTTATTTCTGCAGAAGCCCCACGCAGCGTAGCTAACAAACGGCCATCCATTGCTGACCATATTTTGATAAGTAAATCATCAGCACCCTAAATAAAATACATATACAAACATATTATTTATCGATCATGTTTTGTGTTGCTATTAGTTACCGTTATAATATAACGTCCAGTGCGATCAAAGAGCACACAATAGACGGACGACAAATGACCCACGGTGCGTTTAAGTAATTTGGTTTTGCCGTATAAACTGATGGGTACCAATAATTTCCGACGCACTGGTCCTCCATACTCGCGTCCAATTAGTACTTTCTCTAAATTAATGAAAAAACAATACATAATATAAGTTTATTCACAATTTTTTTTTTTTACTTACGCAAATTGTGTATAGGTTTTGTTACCGACGAATCTGGCAGTGATACACCATGTAAACGTGTGCAATAATCTAGCAAGGACCGGGATCGATATATGCTCTCTTCGGTTCGTAGTAAGCTTTGACGACCAGTACCAAGTAAGGATACTATACCCAATACTGCCGGAGGTAGATCTTTGTCTAATATTGGTCCTATGCGACAACATATTTCTAAAAGATGATTTGGTCCAACATGTGCATATTTTTGCTCCTAAAATATATATATTTATATTTTGAATTTTATTAATTATAAAATATGAGATTTACAATAACAGAACTATTTATGAGAATTCAACCATACGTCAAAATTAAAAATAAATACGAAGATGGTAAAAGCAGAAAAGGAGAAGCAAAGCGCAATATCCACCACGGCTGTAATAGAACTGTTATCTCTTTTTAAAGCACTGTGTTTAATAAGATTAATACAGTTATGGATTATATACTGTTTTCTCTTTTTATAAAATAAAATTCGTCCCTATAAAATAATTGAGTAAAAGAGACAACCATCACGGCGAGGTATATGCTCAGTCAAAATGTCTGCCAACATCGTATGCAGCAACGAATGAAGAATATAAGATATCTAGCTATACATATTTACATGTTACTTGGTATTATATTTTTCAATTTCGAAAACTTTTAGTTGCCATTATTAATAAATTTTTGAACATTTCTTTAAATTTTCAAACGAAATCGAAAATTTTAGTTAAGTAGACAACTTCTCGTTGAAATTGTAAAATTTTAAAAATTATATAAACATTTTCAATAATACATGAGGTTTATTTAAATTAATTTAAATTATTTAGTCCTAAAATATTTAATTGCATTCGATTTCTTAACTTTTGCAGTATATCAAACAATCAATAAACATTTTCCACCCCTCATTAACGTATGAAACAACATGGCGGAGCAGCGTGCAAACAAGTACAATTGTAGTCATTATTACTACATCTGTATTTTGTTTTAAATATAATATAAACCATTATTTAAGTATTTGACATTACTTTATGTTGAAATAAATAACTTCCATATAACTGGTAGAACTTTCATCTCGAAAACAAAGAGCTTATTTTAAGTAGAGGACCCGTACAGTGGGACAAATTACATATAATACACTTACATTTTTAGTTTTGTTTTATATTTTCTTTTTAAGTGTTAAAAAGTTATAGAAAGATATTCAATTTAAAGTTAAATTTTTCATCTAAAATATTTATTACAAAAAATTTGTGATATGTTAAAAATTTAAACACAATTGTTTTCTTTGAACTATTCGGCCCACTGTTCTCAAATTTTTTGTTTATAAAGAATACTATGTACGTATCGTATATTTTACACTCACCAATTCTGCAAAGCTTTGTTCATGTTCATGACCAAGCCAATCCGTCCGACTTGGTAAAACCTTAAAAAAAGTAAAAAAAAAAAAATAAAATAAAATATTTTTTAGGCATTTCTTACTATATTTAAAAACAATTGGGGATGTTATTTTTTTACTTATACAATTTTTTCGAACTTTCTTAGAAAACCACAAATTAGTTGCACCCGAAAATTGACAAAATAGTAAGAAATTAAAGAACAAAACAAAAACGAAAACATAAACAATGATATTCGAGCAAAAGGTAAAAGCTATTTAATTGCAATAGTCAAATTTTATAGGACTATAATTAATATCTTACAGAATCAATACTTGACAAATTAATTTATTTACTCCCATCGCAATACCATAATGATGCATTGGAACAATCCAGGAGTTTAGTATATATCTTCCCATATATATTTACTCGTCAAGAAATGTATAAGCACGTGTATTTACCCAAAATAACCTGCACTGAATATAGCCTGGGTACACAGGCATATCATTTAGCGTAGTGCAATTTGCCTTTTTACTAAACTAGTCACAAATTCTGATTAAGAATAGCTGTAGACATTGAAATAGGTGCATGCGTTTCAGGGAAGAGCGGCGTTATGACTTCCATAATAAATGTAAACGAGAAGCATGTAAGTTTGTTTACAAATAAAATGCTTCTGCTAATATTACTAAGTGCACTGCTTCTTATTTACAAATTTTCTATAATTGCAAAAAAGACATACTTACTTTCTTTTGTTCCAACTCTCGCACTAGAACCTGAAAAGTATATAAAATAATATTTAACTTTTGTTTTATAATAAACCACATTGCATAAAATTCGTTTGCAATCAACTCTCACCTCAGCAGTTTCCCGCAGCGGACCCGAAGCCAAGAACTTGGATATGAGAAAATATAGCTCTGCAACAAGAAAATAATTTACTTAATAACCAAATTATGTTTTATATTATATATGAAGTTGTTCAAAAAATATATTTATTAATTTCACTTTACATAGTGGATGACAATCGCTTCCTTGTTCCACTGTTCTTCAACACCGTCGGCCAATACATTTATTGGTCTGTAATTTTTTCCCGTAAAATTGACATAACTTACCTGGAGTTACAATTCTCTCCGCCACCAGTTGTTTGTTATTTTCCATTATGACACATTTATTTAATTAAATGCCACATTGATTTACTATTATTGTTATTTTTGTTTGCATAAATTGAAATTATTTTCTCAGTCAATGCGTTCAAGCTAATGAAAAATTTCTTCTTCTGCTGCTGCAATCTTCGTCGCCTCATATTCTTGTCGTCTGTCTATTTTCACGGTGATTCGTGCCTCGCTCGTTTGGTTGGCCGAGTGGTGAAATTGTTGAATCCGTTTTGACAACTTCTCAAGAAGAATGAAAGAGATAGCTGCTTGTTATATCAGTGTAATATGAATTATATTGTTAAAAGAACAAAATTATTCTTTTACATATCATGTGCAAATTCTCTAATTCTCTCATTACAAAATACAAAACATATATATAATTTATATAAGTTACTATAATATTATATTTAGATGCAATATTTGATTGGTAAAAAGAAAACATATCTGGTTCTACTATGAATGTCAGCTGATAACAAGAATGATAGAAATACAGCGTACGACATTTTCCCTTCGTTACTTTCTTTACTATCAGTTTGACAGATTGGCATCTAGAAAAGTGGCTTGAAAACCTAAGAAACCAACCAAAATAATAATAAAATAATAGCATCAATTAGATTTCATAAATTTTAGCTTTAATTGTACATGTATATATCACACCTATCATAAATAAATGTATATCTTTACAATTAAACAAACTACTGCTATAAGCTTCGCAATCACATCACTTAATTTGTAATTACTCAGTCAAATATATAGTTACTTAAATATGATCTAAACATATTCCCGATGCAGTCTTCTACTTTGCTCACCGAAACCTCTTTATTATAAACTAATAAAGTTTAATTCATGCATTTATAAAGCTGCTTTTTGCAGGGAATGTAGATTATATTTTACATTCTCTGCTTTTTGTTTTTGATTTACAATTTTTTGTAAATATGACACTTTTTCTACATTGGCTCTTCTCTTTCTTGGTTCTATGTCGTCACATGTCGCAGTCTTGTTTCTGTCATTCTTAAGCTGATATAATTGATTGAGTATGATACGGCGGGTTACACAAAATCTATCAGCTAAATTTTTTATTATTATTGATAGGGATGAGTGTTATTAAAGTTGTTTTATAGGGGAAGAAACAAAAGAAAACTTACTGAGATAATGTGGATTTCAGATTATAAGTATAAATGGCACGAAATACTGGCCATGAAAATTATGCGCTCCGGTGGTTATATACCACGACACATTGCGTTTGTAATGGACGGTAATCGCCGATATGCAAAATCTCAACATTTGCGCAACATAGAAGGACATTCGCATGGATTTGATAAGTTGGCAAAATGTTTACGTTGGTGTTTAGATATAGGAATAAAAGAGGTAACCACTTTTGCATTTAGCATCGAAAACTTCAAAAGATCTGATGAAGAAGTGAAAGATTTGTTGGATTTGGCGAGAGAAAAATTCCTAAATATAATAAATGATGAAGCAAAATTGAATGAACATGGAGTACGCATCAGGGTAATTGGAAATCTGAATTTGTTGCCTGAGGATTTGCAGAAGTTAATCGCAAAAGCAATGATAATTACCGAGCATAATGATAAACTGTTCCTTAATATAGCCTTCTCATACACGTCACGAGATGAAATGACACAGTCTGTTGAAACTATACTCAAACTGGGTGACGAATTACAACCGGAAGATATCAACGAACGACTAATTGAAGAATGTCTGTATACAAGACATTCCCCACCACCTGATTTGCTTTTTCGAACATCGGGAGAAACGCGTATAAGCGATTTTATGATGTGGCAGGTAGGATAATTTTTGATTTAGAGGTCTTAATTGATGTATGTATATATATAATTTTTTTTTAGCTTTCGACGACAGTTATTTACTTCACAAATATTTTATGGCCAGATATAACCCTTTGGAATTTTTTAAGTGGTATATTTGCATACCAACGCGCAAGTATACGCTTAGAAGCATTTAAACAACAAAAACGACTGGAGCATGCACAACAGGCAAAAAACTGTAATTACTATTCTGACCGTGTTCAACTTTTTTTGCGTACAGTAGATAGTTATAGAAAAAAATTACTCTTAAGTTTATCTACAAGCAATTAAGTATATAGAAATTTATTAAGAGTTCAATGTTAAAAGTACTATTAAAAATAAATACGATAATTCTAAACTTTGGTATTTGAATTGTTGTTGTTTATTAAATGACAATTCAAATGCTACATACAGCTACAGCCGAGAAATGAGTAGTTTCTTGGAGATAAAAAAAAACGTGTTCAAAATTTCAAATCGATACCTCAAAAACTGATTCAACTAGTTGGCGTATATACAGACATACGAATCGAAACAACTGTTCATTTACATACCATATACATTTTATAGGGTCTGCGACGTTTTATTTTGGGTGTTATAAACCTCGTGGCAAAAGTAATATACCCTGTTCAGGGTATAATAAAGAATATGCTGTTCTTTCAAAAATATGCAATTTCAGTTATATTTTTAAGTTGCTTTCAGATTCACAACTCAAATGCCAAAGAAAAAAGTCGTGCCAAGTAGCCAATATCGATATCGAAATATAAATTTAAAAATTTGTTCCTGGAATTTCATTTCCTCCAAGGTAATGTACATATTTACATATTTCCCAAAACCACGCAAATAACGTATTGCAATGTACTTTTTTTTAAGTTTTGTTATAGTTTTTATACATTATTATATATACGGGTTTTTCATTGATATAGTCCTTTATTACATTCCCAAAATGGTCATTTGGGAAGCAGAAAACTGAAATTGATGATCATTAACATTCTCTGGTTAAACCGAAATTACAGTGTGAATTCACAATAGTGTTCTAAATTTTACAAATTGAATCAAATACATTATAACACAATTTATTAATGCTATTTTTTACTTGTTGTAGAAATCACTGATTTCTGCACAAATTTTTAAATAAAATGTGTATGTTTTAATCCGAAAATTTTATTGTTATTGTTCACTACAAACCAAATGGTTAGAAGTCCATTATTCAAGATATCTATTATTTTTGGAGGTGTCATGAAACGGTTAATTATAAATTATAGAAACGAAGAAAAATCTAGGGACAACTAGTGAATACTACTTATATAGACAAGCATCTCCCTCTTGTGCATATGCAACTAATTGAAAATATTCCATGGCTGCATTATTCTATTCCTTTTTAACTGATGGTAACGAGTGAAACGCTGGTCAACAAAGCACAAAGTACAAACGAAAAAGTAGCGAGTATGTTCACAAACGAGTGCGCATTTTCTGAGAGCAATCATTCTGTAGTGGACTTCATTGAGTACCTCGTGCGCCTAAATTTACGTTGTTTTGATTCAAATAAAACAAATTATTATATAGTGTTTGCAAGTTTCCGACGGCTTTTACTAAATGTGAGATAATTGATTTCCTAGAATATGGCGGGATATTTAGGAAAAATTGTACGCTTGAATTTGCAATTGCCTGAGTGTTAACGGTAGGCGGTTGCTTGTCATATATTTTAATTCGGGAACAATAAAAGTAAATACACATGAAAATTGTATAACTATAAAGTTCTTTGCTTCAGTGCAAAGCTCAACATTTGAAACATGTGCAAAAACTGTGCAGGTAAAATTTTTCGCGAAAAATATAATTGCAAAAAATTACCACGCATAGCAAAACGCCATTAGTGCCGCTTTTCTAGAGTTGCCAACAAAAGCCAACTATTAATATGACTTGGAACGTAAAGGTATACGATAAAGGAAATTAAATTTCTTTAATAATTTAAGTTTTGTAATGAAATTTTTTGCACAACTGAATAAAATGAAAATCAATTCTATATATTGTTGCACGCTCGCCTAAAAAAATTTGGTTTTGCTAAATTTTGGCAATACTGTTTGTCTACTATGAATCAACGAGTGGCGAGTGAGAGTTCTTTGGATTAGCAAATACGTGCTTTGGGTCGGTCACTCGGTGTTTTCTGAAATAGTGTGTGTGCGCTTGCGGGAACGAAGAATGCGTACAAAATTCACGGCATCAGTGACAGTGAAATAGCGAGTAGATGGAAGAGCATGGAAGAATGGAGAAAAGTGCACGGAATATTTGACAAATGAATATTTAATTTACCCACAGTTTTGTGAAAAGAAAGATTTTTTATACAATTCAAGTGAATGTGAAATGAATACTACAAGCGATTTGATAAAAAATGAGGAAGTAGTTCGATTTGGGAGAAAATGGTATTTTTTAATTGCTTTTGTTTATATCTTTTTTTTGTGGATTCAGTTTTGTGTGGTCGGGCTCTTTCGGTCGCTTGTTGGTCGATCGTGTCGGTTACGTTTTGGTTACGTCGGTTTTGTACGTTGGGATTTTTTAGTGGTATGTTTGGTGGTATGACAGGGCTGTATTAAAGTAGGGTAGGCGAAATTTATTTATTCTAAATTTTAAGGAAATGTTTTTATCAATGACACTGGGTATGTAAATATAGTTTGAAATAAGTTATAATTTCCGATTATATTTATTTAATCAAATTATATAAGTTCGTTTATTAAACATTTGCATTAATTTTCACTCAATATTATTATTTTTTATTGTTTGCGTTAGAAATACAGAATATTGCTATGCTAGATTTTAACTTAAATATCTAAATTGCAGCAAACTGACAATCGCTAAATTATATACCCAAAAAGTTTAATAGAAATCATATCTGTTGGAGGTGTATACAAAATGTAATAGTTTAAAGCCAATGCAACCCTACTGTGTGTTGAGCGTTTTTTTTTTTTTTTGTTGGCTCGTTTGGTTAGTGTTTGTGCGGTTTGCGTTTCCGACTGTGGTTGATGGTTTCGTGCGGGTGTATGTGTTTGCTTGTGGTGGCGCTGCCACTCGTTACCTACAACAATCTGCTCGCTACTCGTCAGTTCCCACCACACGCATAACACCGTCGCGGGCGCCTTGACTGGCTGTGGCTGTGCTACATAGTGGTTACGTGTATGTTGCTTTGTGTGCACAATTCTACGTATCGAAAAGACATGTAAAAGAAAATACGGAAAAAACCAACGAGCGAGCGAGCAAAAGTAGAAAAAGTTGTGCAAAATAATAAAAATTCTTTTAAATATAAAGAAATTGTTAAAAAATTAATAAAAATTATAGCATATTGTTCTTAAAGGTCCAATGGAACGTAACTAAATAAATTTTATTATAAACTCACCCTTTAATACTTAAAAAATCTCAATGAAAAAACTGAGCAAATAAAGTCTTCTCAGTAAAGAAGCGCAAGCACCCCATAGTGCCAGAAAGTGTGCAAGACAAGACGGCAAAAGGAAGGAAGGCGCAGGGTGCTTCAGGGCTAGAAAGCATAAAGCAGCCTATTAGTCCAACTTGCTGGACGATTAGAATTTAAACGTTCCAACACTTATGATTACATTTACTGTTGGAATAACAAACTTTAGGCGCAATTAAATGGTTTAATTGTGGAAAAAATATTGGCGGAGTCTCCTAATCTAACCATAGTTAATCACAGCTAACAGTGGTATTGGTGTAAGGTGTGTGCATCCGGCTTTAAAGTTTCATCAACCTACAAAACGGACCAGAATCATACATAAGCTAGAAAACGACAAGGTGTTAGCCGCCTTTCAAATAAAAAATAATTTAACAATATATTATAAGCCTGCATTTGGAAGTTTTTGGTAAGCGGGAAATTAATAGCACAATAGAATCTGCTCTCTTCCACAAGAGTCGCAAAAGCAAAGCAAGAGTAACAGCAGCAGTTGTGTGGTGTAGTGCGCAAAATGTATCCTGCACCGGTGCGTCATCCCTCGGCGGGGGTAAGTGCACAAGTGCATTATGGCACTATTTATTTTACATTTTATACAATTTTATAATACCATCAACAAAAATAATACTAATAAAACATATTTTATTTTTCATGTACCAACAAACAACACAATTGTCACAACGTATGTGTAAAATATTAAAATTTAAACGATACATAGGGACCGCCACCTCAGGGCCCATTGAAATTCACAATCGTTGACACATTAGAACGAATTAAGGAGGAGTTCAACTTTCTGCAGGCACAATATCATACGTAAGTATTTTTAACATAATTTATAAAGTTTTTAGTGCGCAAAAATAACAAACTACTAATCTACCACAACTTTATTTCCATTATAAATTTTTTTTAATCTAACTGATATGCTATAACTTTTTTTCGGTAATAAATTATTTAGAGCATATTCTATCGTTACCGAATTTCTTATTTACTTAAACGTTTCACTCCGTTTCTTCTTTTACTATTTTGACATGCATGTTAATCGAAATTCATGTATACATTTGTTTTTTTTTTTTACTTTAAGCATACCTTTTATAATATTACTTTCCTGGCTCCATACATAAATATCTGGTTAATCATCTAAATTTTAAAATAAATCTTATCTTCACATGTTTATTTACATACATATGTATAATCCCCGAGAAAAAAATTTAAAAATTTTGAATGAATTTTATGTCTCAAGGTAATCTTATCATCTAAGTTGAGCATACTGTATACAAAACTTATGCCATATAATGAATTTATTTTCACTTAAATTTTTGTCTGTAGAAATAATGCCATTGCTTATAATGCATACTTAGGTGATGTTAAAGTCATCTCAATATGAAATTTATGGAAACCCAATGAACCTTCCTCTTCTAGTGTTTCAAATTATTTATTGAAAATTATAAATTATGTTTGCCCTGAAGTTTGTAACACCCAGAAGGAAACGTCGAAGACCCTATAAAACAAATGATCAGCGCGACGAGCTGAGTTGATTTAGTCATGTTCTATATGGTGTATATACGCTCCCTCAGTTTTTGAGGTATCGTTATGAAATTTTGCGCACATTCCTTCCTCAAAAAGCTGCTCATACCTATGTCGAAACCGTCTAATATCGGATTATTATTGTATATAGCTGCGATACAAACTGAACAATCAAAATCAAGTTCTTGCATGAAAAAGTTTTTTTATTTGATAATTTATCTGCCCGAAATTTGGCATGGATTGTTGTCCAACTGACATTGCAATCTCGGAAAAAATTGTTTAGATTGGAGCACTCTAGCATAAAGCTGCCATACAAACTGCAATTGCACCATAAAAATCGAGCATAATTCTTAATTAAAGAATAAAATGCGAACAGTTCTATGTCAGCTTTGAAATTTATCCATATGTATATAAATATGAATGCTTGTGTATATTTACCTACATTCTATAGTATTTATATTCATAAGTATAATATGTATATTAAAAAGTGTATACAACATAACATTGCACATTTTGTTTCATACTACTGCTCTAGCCCGGCAACGATTGCGGGTTTGATTTTACTGTTGGAACGAGATATTGGTGTAACGGCGGAAGGCGGCTGTTGAGTTCTTAGGCTCAAGTTGTAGAATTGTTTTTTTTTTTGTTTTAGCAATTTAAATTCAAATTTGTGCGGTAAAAATTTCGAGCTGTCAAAATAGTTGCAAACTACAAATTCTTACCACACTCCCGCCTTTTCTTACTCAACACTTAATCTTTGGTTCAGGAAAACATGAGTAGTATGATTGTGTTGTTGGTACGGATAATGTATTAATAAAAAAAAAAACCATAAAGCTTTAGATAAACGCTCACGCCTATGTACATATGCGATACTTAACAGTGGGTCTCGGGCGACACATATTAACAAAATACACTGTTCACACAACTGTCGGATCTCTGTAACCAAAATGAACCCGGATTTTTAATCGGCCAAGTAGTGTCTACTCTGCAAGAACTCATCCAAATTATTTCAAATGTTATATACCGCTACAACAACAACTTTAATAATATGGAGGAGAATAGTACATTTAATTGATCAATTGTTTTGATGAATGAAATTATTTAAAGGATGTTGACTTGTCACTCCAGCGGTATACTCTAAAACAGTTTTAGTTTTTTAATGTAAAACGATGCATACTTAAGTGTAGCTGTTATCAACGTGTTATAATCATATCAACCTATAATTGTCATTCATTTTAGATAGGCATTGCATCGAATTTGTTTAATATATATATTTATTTTTTGTTTATATATTTCATATTTGTTTTTATTTTTTATTTCATTTTTTTTATTTTATTTTAGTTTTTTTTTAATATCTAATTTTTTTTTTTAGTATCTTATTTATTTCTTTTGTTTAATATTTTTAAAATTTTTGGTATATATTTTTTGATATTTTAAAAAATTTTTATATTCTTATATATTTTTTTAAAATATTTTTAAATTTTTTTAATTATATATATTTTTTAAAATATTTTTAACATTTTTTAATTATATATTTTTTATATTTTTTTAAGATTTGTTTTTATATATTTTTATTTAAATTTGTTTTTTTTTTTATTTTTTTTTATATATATTTTATTTATATATATTTTTTTTATATATATTTTTATATATATATTTTTTTATATTAATATTTTAGCAAAAAAACTACTTTTATTTTCAAACTTTATAACTCTTGTTATTTTAAAAGATTTATTTTCGAGTTTGCCTCACTG